CCCACACACACACACACACACACACACACACACACACACACACACACACACACACACACACACACACACACACACACACACACACACACACACACGCAATTTCGATCGACAGGCACTAGCATCCGCTGACTGTACCATTTGAAAACTAAACAAACGTGCAAGCCAGATCCTAGTTCTGTGTAACTTGAATTCCTGCCGAAAGGCTTTTTTACTTCAAGCTCTGAAACATATGGGTATTCAATGGTACCCACATGAAGCCACACCTTAAAGACACCTCAGGACCTCTGAGCGCGCCCCCTCATACTTATGTGCAAGAGGGACTCGAGCACCCTCACAACCGCCAAATTGCTGCATCGAGGCCTTGTTCAACTTCACCGTGGGGACCTATACATTGCCATACATTGCTATACATTCAGATGCCAGAGGACAACAGAGGACAGTAGAGGAGACGGATGGAGACGGCTGAGTACAGCTTGGGGGCTTACCATGGTCTACCCATGTCTGCGCGGCGCCTGCCCTCTACATCGACTCAAACATACTCAAACGTTACGTTGCTCTCGGCACGCTGAGAGGCCAGCGATGGTAAGCTGCGCAAGGTAAGCGTCTAGCGCCTTGCGAGCACGTGGAAGCCAGCTGTCTGGATGCTCATCGGTCAACTGCATTCTCGACCACGTCTCCAAGGAGGCGACGCCGAGGATGATGGGGCTTCTGGGCGCGGACCGTGCCACGGATACGAACTCCTGAAGAGGGGAGAAGCACAACACAAGAAAGTGGCAAAAAGAAAGTCCTGGTTCTCTGAAATCGCGGGTGCAAAGCGGCCCTGTCCTCGTCCATGAAGGTGGTTGCCTGCATCACTCTCGCACAGAGTCAAGCAAAGGTCAATCTGTTGAAGGCGCGCTTTGAACGTTCAAACGCTGATGAAAAGTGATGCCAAGGCAAGGCTCAAAATGGCTAAAGCGCATCTGCATTGCCGAAGCCCCGGCCATCTCCTCCCCCTTCCAGACAACAGAAAACTTTACGGTGGCTGAGGCCAGCGGCGACCAGGCGTGCAAGGGCTTGCCCTTGAGTCGCGGATTTCCGGTCGCAGAGCACGACCTCACTTGAAGAGACTGGAGGGAATGGGAGGGCAAACGGTCGTACTACTAGCCGTCATCGCGCAGCTTCAACGAACACAAACGGCAGAACTTTGGTCTCAGCTTAGGGTGCCACAGTCGCAAAGCGGGTCTCCCCGCCGCCATCGTCGTCTTCGAAGCAAACCAGCGACTGGACAGGCGCATGGCGCGAATAAGGGGGTCTCCGCGAGATGGCGGGGGGGGGAGGGGGGGGGAGAGGTGGGGGAATGGCTCCGTGAATGGGCCTCCCTCTTCGCCAGACGCGCCAAGGCCATGTGCGGCTCGTCAAGCATGTCGGAACCTCGCCACACGCACGAGAACGCAAGCATCTGCGAAGGCGAAAGTGCTCGAAAGCGCTCGAAGGCGCGTGTGCAACGTGAAAGAACGTGCGCAAGGCAACTGAGTGGTTCAAGAACCTTCTTGACTACCCATGGACTAACCAAAGACAAACCCAAAGACTCCGGGGTCCGGACTCACGGAGCAGAGGAAAACCTCAATGGCCTGAGAATTCGTTTTTCAGTCTCAGAGCACGTTTTTCAGCCCAGGAATCAGGAAACACTTCCCAACAAACTGTTCCTCTCCCATATCACACATCCCTTTTGCCTCTCCCTTGCCTATCCCTTGCCGATCCCTTTACATTTGATCCTTCACCCGTCACATCTCTCCATGCCTCGCCGACCGCGTCGTCCTTGGACGGAGTCCGCTCCTGAGAAGCTTCGTTTAGAGCTCATCAGAGAGGAGAGAGGAAGAGAGAGAGAGGAGAGAAAAGAGAGACCCAGAGGGAAGAGGAGGACTCCGGGGACTCGGAAGGCATGAGATGTCTCTCCCTCCCTCCTCCTCCCTTTTGCCCCTTCTCCCAGGAGATCTTCTGAGAGGTTCTGAGAGCAAACATATTTTGAGGCTTTCCCAGGCTCGCGAAAGCCGGGGGGAGGCGAGAGAGAAGAGGGCCCCCCCGAGCCTGAGAAAGCGCAATTTCAGCCATGCCTTTCAAAGAGCCGGGCTTCCACAGAGATGTCAAGAAAAAGAAGAGATTTCTCCCTTTCTTTTAGGGGGGGTTTAGGGTTTCAGGGGGGGGGGGGGGGGGGGGTCGCGCCTTGTGGCCTGACACAAAAAAGGCGACATGCCAAGCAACCAAAATAGCAAGTTGCAAAAACACACAAAGTCACACAACTCGCCCAGATGCGACCTTCACAGCCCCTCCGACCCCGATTCTGCGTCCTGGGTGACGTAGGGGTGCTCATGCAGGAGGAGCTCCGCCTCCAGGCCCGGAAACACTTCAACAGGCCCAAGGAGCCCCCCCCAAAACTCACCAAGCTCTCACTTCCGGACCGGACTCTCGGACCGCACTGGGCTCTCTCGCCTGCTGCAGAGTGCTTCCAGGGACTTTGCCACCCAGCTCTGCCAGCCTTGAGTCGCAAGCGCTTCCCGAAAGCTGGAAAAAAAGGAAAGGGAGCTGGAGAGAGGCCTCAGAGAGGCCTCAGAGAGGCCTCAGAGAGGCCTTAGAGAGACCTTTGTGACGTGTGCTGCTGAGCCGCATCTTGGTGAAGAGCTCCGAGAACTGCACGCTCCCTGGGCTCAGGGCTTTCGCAATTCTAAGGAAAAATCTCTCAGCAGCAGCTCAAGGAGCCCTCAAAGAGAAAGAGCAAACAGCAGGCACTGGCAGGAAGCAAAGAGGGCGCCGCCGCAGTCCGCGATGTCCAGAAGGAGGCCCGCGGGAGACTTCAGCGAGTCCTTGGACATGCGGGACCTTTTGCTTCCCCTTCCCCTTTTGCTTCCCCTTGGTGCCTGGAGCTGCGTCAGCGCAGTCAGCGAGGTGGAGGGCAGGTGCACCTGGCACTCTCGCAGTCACACCGTCAACACCGTGTTTTCACTGGTGGTGAAGACTTGTAAAAAGGCTCACATCCTGAGAGCCATGCATCTTTCTGCACCTCAGAGGGGTTCGTCTCTGACCTTAGCAGAGGTCCCACATGCTCACAGAACGGAAAGAGATAGGAGCCAGTGCCCTCCTCCGTGCTCTCTTGCCGTGCTCGATTGCTGGGCTCCCCGAGCACATCTGGGCAGCTGCTCTTGTCGCGGTTCAGGTCCTGAAACAGCAAGACTGAGACAGCAAATTTCATTGAGAGGCCTCCATGTTTGCTGCAAATCTTTCTTGGATTTTCTTGGACTCCGAGGTGCCACTTCCAGTCCAGCACAAAAATGGTGAGTCCTCAGAGCACGGGAGAACTCAGATTCCATGCTCTCTGTTTCGTCTCCTCACCATCTTGAAGCCGAGTCCGAACTCAGCGTCCTCAACTTAGGATCTGAGCCCATCTAATCTATCAGCCGGAGGGCTCTTGCCAACCGGAGGCTGTGTGCTCCCACAGCCGCGCAGTGTACGACGGGCCTCGAAATCATTCGCAGAACGCGTTACAACATGTGACAACGACGTCCATGAGAAGAAATGGAGAGAGTCCCCGTGAACTTCGCGGTGCTCTGCGCGCTGCTCTGCACGCTGCGCTGCGCCGCCCACCCTCCCCGCCCCCTCGTCCCCCCCACCACCCCTCCGAGAGGCAGAGAGCCCCTTAGAGCTGCCCCAGGTGCAGGGATGCCCTTTGCGCCCAAGACCCTTCGTGTGATTAAAATGATATGGGAAAATCCATTTGAACTTCTTAGGAGCTCAGCCACTCAGCCACTCACTGCAAAGCAACTGCGTGTCGGGACATCTTGGGCCGCGACACTTGAATTTGCTCGGAGGCTCTGCGTTCGACGAACGTGAGTCGCGCCGCTGCTTGCGGAGGTCGACCGGTAGAGATATCCTCAGCTCTTCAGCCCTGGAAAGCCGATGGGGAGAGATGGGGAGAGATGGGGAGAGATGGGGAGAGATGGGGAGAGATGGGGTCTGACTCGGAAATTCAAGAACTTGGACACTCTCAGGGTATCAGCCGCGCCGCGCTGCTTTGGATGCCTCGTCGACTGCTTTGTTTTCCGACTCCTGAGGAGCTTAAAGGCTTAAGCACTCTTTAGGCACTTACGACATGCACTCGAGATGTTTCTGCCTTGAGCCTCCGTTGAAACATGTTGAAACATGCTGGAACCGGATGTTGCTTAAGTTGAAGCGCCACCAGCCGGTCGCCTGTGCCTCTACGGTGCTGTCTTCGCAACGCCTGCTACTGTATCGTTCCGGAACGCTGAATCTCAGACCGAGACCTCAACCACTCAAACTAGATGGGAGTGTGTAACAAAGTCATGTCCGCGTAGTGCTACTTGCTACATTCGACTTGACCTGATCCCTCTGAGTGCCTCCACCACGTGCCGGCATCTATTTCTCCAACTTGTACAGTTTTCTCGTACTTGCAAAGAACCGTAGGATTATCCAGGTGCGTGCCTGGACTTCCTCATTAATAGCCCCGGGCAAGTCCACGCCCTGCCAAGGAAGCTGCATCGCACATGTGTCACACACACACACACACATGCACACGTACATGTGCACACAAAGCATCACAATGTGGACAGTGCACAGTGAACATGCAGTGCCACGATCGGGGAACCTGGTTCACATTTGCCATTGTGCCAGGAGGGCCGCTTTTGCGGTTCCGCACGTGTGGCTATGGCTTACTTTGTGCTGCGTCTGCTGTTGCTGTCATGGGGCTCGGCCGGGCTCAGCCGATGGCTGAGAGTGGGTGTGGGATCTGTGTTTGGACATGGCTTCCGCTGCCTCACTCCTTGGACCTCCGAAACAGCTGCAGTTGCGCGAAGCCGAAGGCACATGAACCTCTCAACTCGGAGTGTGCTGAATCACTGAACGCCGAGTGACTTAGTGACTTAGTGACTTAGTGACTTAGTGACTTAGTGACTTAGTGCCAACATCTTGCCCCAAGATCCTGTCTCGTGCACCAGGAGTGCACCTGCCTGCCCGGAGTCGGACTTGGAGGGTGCTCCCTCGGGCTGGAGGAAGGTGCTCGCACCCTTGGGGTCGATGCAGATGTACCTGCAGTGTGGGGCGCCGCGGGCCGCGCCTCTCCCTGCTCTCCCCTCTGTAAGAGGAGAGACGACAGAAGAGCAGAAAAGCGAGAGAGAGGGAGGAGAAGAAAGGGGAGAAGAAAAGGTAGAGGAGAATGAATGAGAGAATGAGATCTGAAGCATGTTTCTGCAAAATCGGCGAGATGAATCGGGAGGGAGAGCACTCCCAGTCTCCTCTGGCAAAGCCGGGCAGCTGCGGCAGCAGAGCTTTCGGCACCGAGGCCTCTGAAAAAAGAATGAGAGTGAGAGATGTGAGAGCAAGGAGAGAGGGGCCACAGAACGGGAGAGGCCCCGGTTTTTTCTCCAAACGGTGCCTCCGGGGTCAGCACCTGAACGCCCGACAAGGCCATCGGGAGGAAGTAGGCGCCGACCCTCAAAAGAGTTAGGCAGGTGTCTCGGTGTCGCGCGAGATGACGAGGTCCCAGCCTCAGCCAGCCCTCGCCGTCGTCGACGCCCCGCACCAGCGTGCCCCAGAAGGCCGTCCTTGCAGGGACCACCTCGTCAAGGCCGTCAAGGAGGCAAGAACCAAAAAAAGACAAAAGAGGCAAGCGGCAAGCGGCAAGACGACACCCTAAGATCGGCCCAACGGCCCGAAGGCGGCATATCATAATGCCAGAAGCGGAAGAAACCAGAAAAGAAACCAGAAAAGAAACCCGAAGCCTTATCCTCCAGGTCTGGAGACGAACGGTAGCCGATGCCGTCGGAGTCCGCCTGGACAGGGAACAACTAAGAGTCAGCACCTGTGAACAGAAGCGCTCTCTCCCCTTCTCTCTCTCGACTTCTTCCTCCTTTGTTCCTCTTCTCCCTCTCCTTGAAGGCCCGGTTGTCCACAAGGAAGCCCGACTCGATCTCCGCCGGCTCCTGCGCGAAACAAAGCTGCGCTGAGCAGAGGCTGAAGACCTGATTTCGAGGCAAATCGCGCGAGAGAGAGCGCTGAAGCGGCGAGAGCGCGAGGGGGGGAACCACAGGATGCACTCAAGGCGCTCTCTCTCGAATATGAGTGTCTCCTCTTGTGCCGCGGCCTGCGCCTTGCGCAGAATAAACGGCTTGAGACTCCCCAAAAAGAGACTTCCTAAGACTTCGAGACAGAGGCTGGGGAGAAGCCTGTTCCATCTGTTCCTCCGCGCTCTCCAGTTGTTGGCGGGTTGAGATCATGGTCGCCACCTGGAGATTCGGAAAGGAAGCTGAGGAAAGCCCCCCTCTGTGAGAGAACAGGGCTTTCTGGTACTCAGCATGTGAGTTCCTTCTGAGGCTTAGCACCCTGCACGGACAAGCCGCAAAACACGCAGAAACATGCAGAAAGGCGGAAGTTGGGGGATTCTGGTGTTCGGGCCTTCTGCAGTTGCTCTGGAGAGTGTTCCAGCGGCGTCACGAGCAGCTTTCCTGTCCTCGAGCGAGTCTCACAGTCTCACAGGAAACACAAAAAAAGCAACAGTTGAGGCAGGCGGCTGGGAGACGAAGCTGATCCAGCCCTCCTGACCGGACCTGGGCCACGTTCAATGCAATGCTCAGCGCCTCTCAGGCAGGAAGACAAGGGAAGCGCTGTCATCTCCTCAAAGTTTCCCCTTTCCCCCGCCCCCCCGGGCCACCGGGCACCGGGTCCTGGACGAAGAGCCGGCGGTTGCGAGCACCTATTCCAGGAGAGGAGAACTTTGTAACGTTGTATACCAAAAAAGGGGCTCACAGAGTCACGTCGAGTCACGTCGAGTCACGTCCAGTCACGTCCAGTCACGACACGACCCCTCGCCGCCTGCACCGTGGCCCAGGACGCGCATCCTCTGCTCCTGCCACGAGGCGATGTGTCAGATCCTTCATTCGTCCCCCGAAAGACCGAAGCGCGCAGCTCTGCAAAGCTTCAGAAGCCCCTTTACGATGCGAGGGCACCTTCTCCAGCTGGACCAGCGCCATGCTCCGCAGGTCCTCGAAGGCACCCCCGAGAGGGCAAACCGGCGCTGCAGCGCTGCCAGAAACTGTCAACAGAGTCAATGAAACCTTTCCTGTGTCTTCCTGTTGGCTCCCTCCTTAAGGACTCCTTACCTCACCTTACTTAAAGCCGTGCCTCTTGTGTGGCGTGTGCTGGTGCAGAGCGGACCCAAAGTTTTGAGAGTACTGCGAGGCGCTCAGCGCCACAGCCCTCAGAGCCGCCCTCCCTCTAAAGGCTCCTCGGAGGCCCTCATGATGGCCGCCTGGGAGCAGAGGATGCGCTTTCAAAGCGCAAAGAAGGAATCCGAAAGACACACAAGGTGCGAGGAAAAAGGGGGGAAAAGGGGGGGAGGGGCACCCGTTCTGCCCGGCCTCCAGCATCCTCACCTCGCCGCCCACGGGAAAGGCCTCCATCACTCAGAGGGGAGGGAAAAAGCTAGAGAGCCTTTTCAAACAAATGCAAAAGAATGGAGAGCCCGCGCAAGGGGAAGAGAAAGGACGAGAAAAGTGTAGTGCGTAGACTCTCAAGTGCGGAAGAGAACGGGTCCCCGGCCTCCGCCACCTGCAGCCCCGCCAGCGCCCAAGGCGACTCCTCGAGCAGCGACGAAAGAGGGAGAGAGGGAGAGAGGGAGAGAGGGAGAGAGGGAGAGAGGGAGAGAGGGAGAGAGGGAGAGAGGGAGAGAGAGCAATCTTGGGCAGAAAAACTCCTCGGGCAGCCATATCATAAAGAAACAGGTGCGTATGCGTATATACTATATACATAATGTCCTTTAGCATAAACAACGTCCTCCAAGGTGAGGATCGTGGTGCCAGCCAGCCTCAAGCAAAGAGCGAGCCGTTCTCCAAAAGGGCTAAGAGAGTTTGCAGAGCCGCTCCGAAGAGAAAAAAAGGAAGGCCAAGAGAACCTTAAGAGTCTTGAAACCGTTTCCTAAGGCGTTCGAAGAGCCCTGGCCCTGTCGCGCCCCTTCTGAAATCAAGAAACTTGGGAAACCCCCCAATCTGGGAAGGATTCGCGACGGCAGTACAGAAACAACCTTTTCAAGTCCTTTCCTCTCCACTCCCGAATGGCTCAACCGAAAGCAACCCCCCCCCCTCCCCACAAGCACCCCTTGATTGATTCAATTGCTAATTGAGGAGGTCAAAAGGGTTCTAGCCTAGGGGCGCTTGCTTGATATTGTAAACGAGGGCCGTTTACAGTTAGAGCTCCGTGACGTGGGCTGAAGAAGTTCTTGCGGAATGGAAAGTCCCGCCAAGCCCGGCTTAAGCCTTCTGCCCCCTCGGGTCCCAAACTGCATAGGCAGGTAGAGCTCGGAGACGCACAGCCAGCCGTCACCCTCGTCGACGCCCTCTGCTCACATCACAGAGGATCTCAAGTCCCTGGACTCGACAGCTCGCGATGTCTTTGTCAGTTGAAGAGTCACTGAGTCACTTGTGTGTCTTTGGGCACCTCGACGACGGAGCCCCAGAAAGCCATGCAACTCAGGTCAATGTCCTCGAGGTCCTTCGTAAAGCCTCAGCGGCTCCCCTGGCTCCCAAAGAATGGCAGACGCAACATCGCCTAAGAGAAAAACAAACCACACAAAAGTCTTCCAGAGCAAGAAGCCCCCCCCCCCCACTGAAACCAGAGGAAGCCTCCGCCAACCGCTCACCGGGGGGGCTTCTGGGACTCGCCGGGGCCGCTCGCCAGGGCGCTCGCCGGGGGGGGTCTTCTCTGGGACTTCTCCGGGACTTCACCCCCCCCCCCAGGTTCCCCAGGTTTTCATCTCCTTCCCACTCCTGCTCTCTTTCTGTTGGGAGGGGGTTTTGGCTTCTCGATAAGGAAAAAGGCTGAGGCGGCTGAGGCCGGAACGGTAGTTCACGCCATCCGTGCCAGCGTGGAGCTCGCGATTGTCCACCAAGTACCGTTTCGGTGCCTCGATGCGAAAAGGCATACGATGCACAAGTTTACCGGCCATGAGGCAATGAAACCTTCATTGGTCGCAAATGGGCCTTCGCAGCTTCTCAGACCCACCCGCGACAGCTTCCCCCTGCTCTCGTTTGCCCCGCCCTTCGCCTCCGCGCGCAGGTCCTGCGCCTTCTGCCGCCGGAGCCACTGCTTGCCCGGCGCCACCTCCTCCGTGACCACCTGCGGGGGATACCTCAGCGCTAGAGAACTCGCGGAAGGCATGCGCCATTCGGATCAAGCTCAGCCGCTCGCAGCAGGCGTCCCGCTGAGTGACTCTTTTCTTTGGAACTCCTTTTTATAAGACTCTAAGGATACCGTGAGGCCACGGCGACACACTGACGTGGCTTGCCACGCTCGCAACGCTTGCCGCAGGCATCGGGATCTGCACACACACACACACACACAGACACCCACAGAAGCAAACACAAAAACACGAAACCCAAGGCAGCAAGAAGACTCTGGCGCCGTGCATTGGCGTGAGGCCGTCGGCCCTCGTCTGGGGTCCTGGCAGAGACGCCGTGCTCGACCGCCTGGGAGAGAAGGAATGACGAAGGGCAACGATACGGCAACGTGGGGATGGTAGAACCGTAAGACGATGCTGAACTCGATCGTCCACTACGTTCCAGTACAATCCACTGCGGCTTCCTCTCTCCCAGAACCGCACCAAAAACTGCCCGCAACGCAGCACCTGGGCTGAAAACAGCGACGCCGACGTTCCAATTCCAACAGCACCTTCCAGGGCTCACAGCTCGCCGGCTCGCATGGCTCGCGCACTCCAGGCCCACACTATGCCATGCATAGGGCAATCATGCTGGTAAGCCTTTGGTAAGCCTTGCTGTCCGGGGTGAAGAAGGATCATCTCCGCCCATCACTCACTGACCTCCTTGCTGCGAAACACCCCCCAAAGGTGGGCACTTGTGGATCGCGAGCGGGAAGATGTCATGGTCGGCATGGCCTCAAAAAGCGGATCTCGCAACCTTCTGATGCCATCTGATGACGATTTCTTATGTTTCACTCTCAGGCCTGTGGATGATGGCACCATGGCAACCGACAGCAGAAGCCAACAGAGAGCACGCGCCAAACCCATCGCACCATGCGCAACTCAACGCGCAACTCATTGGAAGTTCCCCTCTGTTCCTCAGAAGAAGAAATTGCGAGACGTCTTCTTCTAGGGGCCTGAGCACCCCTAGCCCTCGCGCGCTTGGCGCGCCCGGAAAGCTCCGTCCGTGGTCGGTGTGACACAGATGCTAGAAAAGGATCTCTCTTTCTCTCTCGCCTGTGTCGCTGCAATTTATCTCTTTCTTAACCCCGGCAAGGGCATCCGGGGCGACACGCACAGCACACTGTCAGGGTTTACCCTCCCTCACTTTCTTCTTCTTCTTCTTCTTCTACAGGGCTCGAGGGGCCGAAAACTCCCGCGCGTGCTAGGCGCGCCCTGTCCAGTCTCTGCCGTGAGTGAGACTTGACGGCCAACGCTTGGATGAGTTTCCCTCTCTCTCTCTCTCCCTCTCTCTTTCTCTGTCCCTCTTGTTCTGTGCTCTGCTCGGGTCGCCTTTCTTTCCTTGCACTTTCTTTGCCCCTCGCCTCAGCACGCACCTCTGCAGACGGAGCCAAGGCCACCAAGGCCACCTGAGGAACTGGAACTGGACAGCAGCAGAGAATGAGGACAGAGAAGCTTCAGCAGGGAGAGAGAGAGCAAGAGAGAGAGAGAGAGAGAGAGAGAGAGCGAGAGCGAGAGCGAGAGCGAGAAAAGGAGAGAGAGGCAGAGAGGCAGAGAGAGAGAGAGCAAGAGAGACAACAAACAGTTCTCACCGGAGGACGAAGAGCGGCTTTTGGGGCCCCTCGCCAGCGGCCGCCCCGACTGCGCCACGCAGCTGATCCAACCCACGCCGGACCTCCGGGAAAATTGCCCCTCAGAAATGAAACATGTGCATACATAGAGAGAGAGAGAGAGAGAGCATGTTGCTGTGGGGCCTGGGTTTTGCAAACCTACGCCCCTACACGAGTTGGGTTAGGTCTAGGCAGGGAACTGCAATGAGGTGGAGTTTTTGGGCAACAAACCTTACAACTCAACCTTATGAACCGAATTCCTAAACCGTATTCGTTTAAGATTGAGTGAATACAATTAAGGCTTAGGAGAAAACCATGAGTGAACCTTTCCCCGAAGCAATCGAGTCGAGAAACCCAGCACCTCCCAGCCCCCCTCAAGACTGATATGCTTAGAAACACCCGGCCTGTTTATAGACACGGTATGCGTTTGCCACTTCTATCTTGGCTTAATCATCTGATTAAGCCTTGGCCGAATAATTTTACACAGATCGGACAGATGATGCTATGTAGAAGGGCCTGCCATGAGAAAACTACGAACCCCGACAAAACACGCAAGTAAAGATTTGACAACAAAGTGTGATGTAAAATGCAGGCCGCGATGGCAGGCCCTTCTGTCATGCAAAAAGGGTGTCGACAATCTCCTGTGTTGCCTGTGAACTTCTGTGAACATATTGTGGTTGTAGGAAGTCCAGCAAGTGTATGCAAGTGTTGTATGCCAACACGCAGGCCCCACAGCTTCCTCTTCTGCACAGAGATTTCTCTATATACATATATACTCATATATATGTCTATATCGATGTATACAATGTTCTTCTCCCTCACGCTAGCACTCTCTTTTTCTCTCTCTCTCTCTCTCTCTCTCTCTCTCTCTCTCTCTCTCCTGCACGCTTAGCCCCCCCCGAAGGGAAGGCTGCCCCAAAGGGCGCGCGAAGTCCGCTGGTCTGTTTGTTTCTCTCTCTCTCTCTCTCTCTCTTTGGAGGCTCTCTCGCTGGGCCGCCGCGCGGGTGCCGGACCTCATTCTCATCAGATTAAACAGAGTGAGAGAGAAAGAGAGTGTGTGTGTTCGTGTGCGCGCTTGCCTGATTGCGTCATGCGTGCGTGGGTGCGCGGACGTGTGGGTGCGTGGGTGTGCGGGTGTGCGTGTGCGCGCGCGCGCGCGTGCATGTGGGTGCGTGGGAAGACGAACGAAGGTTTAGCATCTCTAACATCCCTATGGCCCAAATCTGGATTTACGCCTCTGAGTCAAGCAGCATCCACCAGCAGGCGCCACCGAAGGATTCAAGTACTGGTACGAAGTGTATGCCTTTCTTTAGGTTGAGTTTAGTTCTCGGCAGATGTCGACGGTTTTTCTAGACTCTAGAGGTTTTCAAGGGTTCCGAACTGACTGAACCAGCCGGATTCTTCCTGAAATCCAGAAACACCCGTGACACCGAAACCCCTGAAAGCTGATTCGCCTCAAAGCCTGAACCCACCAGGAGCGCTTGTTCCTTTGGCACTAGGTGGAAGCCCTTTAGCCCTTAAGGCCTTAAGCCCTTAAGCTCAGAGCAGCTTTTGTTAAAGGTTTTGGGGAGTTCGGGCCCTGCGAGTCGAGTAGAACCCAGACATGCAATATATTGCCATATACTGATATATACTGCAATTTTCCAGCAGGCCGTCGATTTGAAAGTTTCAGGCTTTCGACGAACGCCTTCGACTCGGCTTAAAGGCCTAGAGTCGAAGTAAAAGCCTTGCACCGCCGAGGACTGCGAAAGCTGGGCCTGGATTGACTTTCGGGCAGCAAAGACATAGGATCTCAGTTCGAGTTTATGCCTTTGGCGTCGGCGGCGGTGGCGTGTGTCCTTGCGTGTGTCCTTTGCGCGCGTGCGCGCGCGCGCGCGCCACTGCACTGGAGCTGCTCTGCTGGTGCGCTGGGTGCGAACAGCTGACGGTTCATGTCAGGGGAGGCTTTCGATTTTCCAGGCCGCCGGGCACAGAGCCGGCGGGTCCCAGGCTCCGAGCCACAGCCCAGGACGTCCAGCAAGGCGCCCTCGCAAGCACAAAGGCTGACAGGATCAAAAGCCTATGAGGCGGCGGATCTGCGGGCAATCGATGCAGAGTGCTTGCATGATGAGGCATGTTGGTTGTAATTCTGGTTTTTGCGCGGCTTCAAGCGCAACAACCTTTGCAGTGCGGTGCATAATTTTGTGCATAGGCATAGAGCAGCTTACCTCGCTTCTTCTGTCCGCTTCCGGCCGCTGCTGGCCTCCTCCAGCACCATGACCTGCTCGCTCTTCAGAGACTCCTGAGCTGCCGGGCGATCTCTGCCTAAAGTTCCACAGCTGCACAGGTACGGAACTGCCCCAGGACTGCCCACTAACTGGCCCCCTCAGAGCTCCAGATCTCTCCTCGGCTCGCACCACCATTTCATCGAGGGCAGCCACTCGGGATCCTCGCGGCATTAAGCTGATCCGATCTGATCGCGGCCGGGCTCCCCGATGCTCCCCCCCCCCCCCCCCCCCGTTTTGCCTGGTGGGAACTGGGCCACAGCAGAGCTCGATGCCAGGTTCGAGGCAGTGGAGTTGCCTCCGGATGCGGCGGGGAAAAACCATAGCCCCAAAGATTCACGACCGAATCTTTTCGAGGATGGCACCTCGCGAGTATGAAGCTGTGGCCTCAGGGCGGCATCTGTTTACATGCCCGTCGGAATGCCCGTCATCAGATACCCGGTTCTGGTCATGAACCGTCCCGCCATATGCCAAGTCGACATCTAAGCCGTTGCGAATACATACCAGACATTATTCTGTGCTCTTGTCTCTTGCTGCTCGCCCTCCGCGTTCTCACTTTGAAGCGCATCGCAGACCCATGCCCAAAGGTCAGCGTCAGCATCGAGTTTGTTTTGTCGGCGGCAAGGCATCCAGCTTTTCATCAAAGTCTACTGATCAAATGCTTAAACTGTTCTTCCAAGAGGCCACACCAGTGCCACCCATGTCCACTTGACAAGCGCCCACCTCACAAGTAAGACATTTTCGCAGTTACTCTTAAATGTGTTGCCCAAAACTCACCCCGGACGTGTCCCACCAGTACAAGTACAAGCGGCATGGCTCTGAACAGCTTGGGCAGCGAATGCTGCGGATGCTGTGGGCGGGCTCCCTGGCATCGCCTCAGACGATACGGGACGACTCTGCTGGCCGTTGATGCCTCACCTCATGTAACCTCATGTGATCTCTTGCCTCTGGGCCTGACACTCGGCAATGTCGCGATGTCGCGATGTCGCACAAAACCTCCCACCCCACCATTTCACCGGGCCGCACTTTGGCTCTGCATCGTCCCAATCCCGGTCATCACAGGCATCGCCTGAGCGAGGCAAACGCAAGGGCATCCGGTCCGTTGAACATGAAACAGGTGTACGGGGGCGGGTAAGGTGTGTAACGGAGACCAAAACGGAATGTAACGGAAATTAAACCGAAAACCGAAACAGAAAGCAAGAAAAATTGTCACGGAAATCACGCCCGCACGCCTGGAAACCAGACGCAGGTGCAAACAGAAACCCACCCTAAAAACTAAACCTAAACCAACCCTAAACCCTAAACAGCCGAGACCCTAAACCCTAAACCCCGGCCGTTTCCGTTACAACCCGCCAATTTCCGCAACAGACTTTACTCCTACGGGGAATCTGCTGCTTGCAGGTATGCAGGGCAAGGTGCGCTCTGGCTGTGTATGGCTTGGCCAGCACAGGAGCTGCTCATTGTCCCGCACGCCGGCATGGGCGAGGGCGCCGCCTAAGATTTCAGGGGGCTCTACAGCCGACTTTACGGTATCATTCCTTTTCCATCACACGGTTCTCTCACAGTGAAATCAATGCTGCGAATATTTGCAAATATCCGCCGACCCCCTAGCTTTCTGTGGAGGGTGTGGAACCCAGGCCAGGTGAACTCACGGACATGCACGCGTGAGGACCCCGCTTAAGATTGGGGACGCCCAGGCGGACCCTCAATTCGGGAGACCTCCCAAGAAATAGGCAGTCGCAGACCACGAATCTCACCACCGTCCCCACCACCATCGGCAAGAGGTGGTGTCTGAACTCAGGAAGGCAGAAAGCGCGTAAGCCACTGAGCCAAGGCAAGGATAAGGCACTTCCCCTACCCCCCCCCTCCTCACTTGGGCTTTGGGTTAAGCTTGGGGGGCCCTGGTTTGATCCTCCCATCCCAAAAGCCCAAAGTGCGGTGGGTTTCCTTTTTGTCGTTCGCGGCTCTTGGGTCGGCTCTTGAGCCGGAGGCTCTTGAAATCTCTTGAATTGTTGAGAAGATCTCTTGGGCATCCGGGCGCCGCAGCTGCAAGCAGAGCAGGAGCAAGCGGAGCCCCGGCTCTGCAGCGTGCCAACCGCCACTGGCGCCGGAGCCGCCTCGGAGAACACAGACAGAGAGATAGAGAGAGAGAGCGGCACAGAGAGACCAGCACATGCGAGCTGGAGTCCACCTGCAAAGGGGCCCCCCAAAAAAAATAGGAGACCCCACCCTCAAAAGAGAGCCCACATCTTCTCGTCTTTCTCCCAAGAGGGGAGGAGCCTCTTTCTAGAGTGCGGTGTGGACATTCAGCGGTACCAAGGAAGGGGACCAGAAAAAGCCAGCGCCAAGCGATGCCAGACGCCGGTGTCAAACGTGAGCAGGCTGAGCAGGCTGGGCTCTGCACGGTCATGGCCGGCATGGCCGGCATGGCCGGCGTGGGCATGGCAGGCATGGCCTTGGAAAAGCACAAAGACTGAAGAAGGTTGGAACCGAACGGCGGCAAAGGCAACAGCTTGCTTGGCCCCCCGGCTGTGCTGGAAACACTGGTCCTTTGATATTGCCCAGTCTGCGGGGTGCCTGCAGTGCCGGGGATCATGCAACCAGGCGGGAACCCTTACGACAAAACTGCGTTTGCATGGCGAGCTGGGCACGGGAAGCATGTCGGCAGGGAGCAGGCTAGCCCAAGCACCAGCATCAAACCCAAGTGCCCTGTAAAAACTGCCACCTGCGCAGGCACCCGTCATCGCCGCACCGGCGATGGCCTTTTGGCAGGAACATGGTCCCCAGTCCCCAAAATCGCATGTGCTTCGCTCTTCAACTTGTTCTCTCTTCCTGGCCTTTGCTGACCCGGTTCATCGATGATGGGCTGATGGGCGATGTGAGGAATGTGACAGTGAACAAGTCTTAGTCTGTCGATTTTGCTGGGTCCCAACGAGGCAGAGACAGAGAGCGAGAGAGAGCGAGCGAGAGAGAGAGAGAGAGAGAGAGAGAGACTCCGAGCGCTCTCTCCACAGGCGGTAGCTCTTTTAGCTCTTTTCCCCATCCCCCATTCCACCACCTTGGAGGCAGCTATCTTTTGCTTGAGAGAGTGTGCCAAGAGCCTGGAACTCAGCGGCGGCGCCCACGGCCGCATCGGAACCAGGCGTCCCAGTCATCGTCACCAGCTTCCTGTCGCAGATCGGGGCCCCGGAAAAGGAAGCAAAACGGAGGCGAAATGGAAGCACATCACAATCGGAAGGAGACCACCACAACCTACACACAATCAACTATGTCGCAAAGAACCCCTCAGTCTCCAAGCTACATACAGAGCTCTGAAAAGACTCTGGCCTCCCTGACTTTGCCACACCTTGGGGCTAATTTGCTCTCTTTTCCCAAGGGCAGCAGAAGCTTGCGCTGATTGTGCCATATGCCCACAATGTACAGTTTAACAGTTTACCGCGCAGCATGTGCCAATGCAGAGAGAATCATAGGAAAGGGACAGCTGATCCAGCCGCGCAGACCCTTCCCAAGGACATAGACCTCAGAGGCGAATGGCAGCTTTTTCCAGATTTGCTGTTTCCATATGGAGTCTTAACGGCTTTTGAAAGGTTTGGCGTGTGCCGCGTTGGGCGCGCTCGTGACATGCCCCCATCTTCTGCGCCCCTCAACCCTGTCAATGATCGAGAAGACGTCTTCCTTTTGCTTTCGGGCCGTCCGTGTCTGTTTCTGTATCAGTGTGTATTGGGAAGCCTGCGTGCTGCTGGGCCGAAAGCTGCTGCCCCTTTCCGGCCTGCAGGCGCCGGCTGTCGGGTGCCGTGCCGTGGCCCAGCACGAAGCAGGCCTATCCCAACCAGGGAACCCTTATGAAAAGAGCTTTGCTCTCTTGAATCCTCGTCTCTGATTATGACAGCAACGGAGGGCACGAGTCGGCACGAGGCTGGGGCCTGACCCTGCTCCAGCTCGCCGCAACTCGGAGCAGACAACAGAGGACACTGGAGTCACTGGATGCACTGGAGAAGGGGACAGCATTTGAGCTCCACACTTTTCGGAGCTCAGGTCCTGGGGAGGCGACAACCAGACACCAAGGCAAAACCCCCAGCCCAATGTGCCCCCTTGTGCTCGGCTAGCACCATCTATTTTCCTGAACAGCACCTTGCGCCCCTTTTCGAGCCGCACCTCCGCCGTTCGCAGCACTGCGGCGCCACAGAGTTCGACCACGGAACTGGCGGGAAAAACCTGCGCGACGTTTTGCAGATGCTGCCAGCAGCACTCGGCATCCCTGAACCCCGTTTCCGTCCTCATGCGGTTGAGGGGCCGACCTTGCTGCAGATCTGCAGAACTCACAAGGAGGCAAATGCCCCCGAAAAAGGGCTTCGAGTTGGGGCCCCGGCGACGTCTGGGTAGACACAAGAGCCATGCCTCAGACTTGGCCCAACAACGACATGCTCCACGTAAGCGACGTAGACGTCTAGACTGGGGCCGTGGCTAGGCTTGCTTGGTACAAGCCATGACTAAGTGGCTTCAAGAACTGCAACTGTTACGCTGCCATAATCTGCTCTCATCTGCTAGAATCTGCTAGAACTGTCATGCCCGCCTTCTAGTGGAATTGGCGAGGACAGCATAAGAATCCAAGTACACAAGTATCACAAGTACTACAAGCACCACTGCGAGCACGACAAGTGCTGAGAAGTACTCAAAGTACTCAAAGTACTCGAGGTCTCTGAGTACTAATGCCTGTCTGCTGAGTCAGGCAGGTTTCAAGGACTGGCGATCCGGCTCAATTGGCAATGCATTTTGTATAGCCGAAAAGGCTTCGGCACGGCTTTCGGCATGGCTTTCGGCATGGCTAGCCATAGCAAGTAATGAGAGGTTTCAAAAAAGGGCCCGCAACTGACCCCCTCACGGCGCGAGAATCGCTTTTTCCCTCGCCTGCTCGCCGAGGGCCCCCTTCAGGGGCCTTCGGAGAGTCCTGCCGTGGTACTAACTTCACGCCTTCAATCCTCCCGTTTGCCTGCAACCGGCAAGCACGCCATCGCACTCGACTCTCAACACTCTTCACATCCTTGGGGCCGCCACTCAGGTGGAGGTGATCCTTCGGCAAAGCGGCGATGGCCCTTGCATTCTCGGCCAAGAGCATTGCCGTCGCCTGAACAAACTAACAAACTCCCGAGGATGCGCCCCCCCGATGTCGAATCTCGACACCCCCCCGTGTCCAACTGCACCCAGTGAAAACCGCTCGTGAACACCCCACGTTGTGAACACATTCTCGTGAACCCGTTGCCCTTCCCTGCCTTGCATTCTCGGCTCTCTTCTCTTAAAGCACTGAAAAAAAAAACACCAAAGCCCTTGAATCCTGAACATGCAATGACACGCAGTTGACATGCATATCCGCAGTGTCCGATTCCATCCGTCTCAGTCGATCGCCGAATCTATACCCGTAACTCTACACATCGCCGTCGTCTCAAGGGCGTGATTGAGGAGGTTCCGAGGCGCAGGCAGGGAAGGCAGGGAAGGCAGGGAAGGCAGGAAAGGGGGAGCTCGAGAAGCTGCCCGTTGGTGCCCTTGCTCCGCCGAAGCAGCCCGTGACGGAAATGATTTGTGTCGATCAGCCCAGCGCAGGAAACTACGGATACGGGGAGACTGGACACCAAGGAGTCGAGTCGAGGAGCCTAGAATTTTAAAACTTATCTAAGAACACGGAGGGTAGGGGGGACAACTTAGGTTCGGAAGTGCTGCTCGGTCCACTGATCTTATCTCACTCTGGACACTCGGTGAAGGTGAAAGACCCCAAAAGCCGGGTGCCCCGAAGCTTCGCCTGCCGTTGGTAATGTTCCTGGACACACAGGCGCCCTCGATCAGGCACGATCGCCTGGGGGACATCGGGACTTTTCAACCTTCCTCCCATAAACTCGAGTTCATGCACGTCTAGGTCTATAGCAGCTACAGATAGCGATAGCATCCTTCACTGAGCAAAAGCACCCTTCACTGGTCCCTGGCTTCTTCAGGCTCCGTTCTTTTGACGTCAGCGAACCGTGGGAACCTCCAGCACTCGTTTTGAGTATACGAGGCGTCGGCAACCTCGTCGGTGACTCCGAGATGGCGCTGCGGCGGGTAAAGCAAGAACCTGCAAAAAACCGGGATTTAACGAAATCTGTCAAGAGCACGTAAAAGGAGAGATGTCAGCTGCTGGGATGTCAACTGCTGATTGTCTTAAACTGGCTGAGACAGTAAGTCGGAAAAGGAGTCTGCTCTGCCTGCTTTGGAGGTCCAAAGCCGCGGCGACCTGTTCAAGCGGACTTTTCGCGGGGGCCAACTTAGAAAGACGGATTTTAAAAACAAACACCATTTTCAGAACGCCGCTGTTGAGAGCCTCTATTGACGAGAGAAAATGAAGAAAACAAAACATGCGAGGACCTGTGCATTTTGTCCAGCGCGACTCTTTTTCGCCGGCCTGCTGCGACTCACGAGCTTCAAGCCGTCGTCGGTTCACCTGAAAGAAAACTCTTTCAGGATCTGCGATGACAGCACGTGTCTTCTTGGTGCCAAGCACAAACCCCTTCCAACTTTGGGGTTCCCGAAATCGGCGTTTCTGTACACAAAAACACGTTGCGCCAAGAGGCTGTCGGAAAGAGCGTGCTTTGGCGTTGCAGGGCCGGTCCTGGAAGCGAAATTGCGAAGCAAACGCCGTGCTACGCAAAGCACTCTTTGTGCGGGACGGGTCGTGCTAGCAGACCGGGCACAAGGTGGGACAACGTGGGGAATATAATGCAAATCAACATCAGCAGAGTACGGAACAAAAAGGCTGCGGCGCCTGCTGGGCCGCCTGCCAGAGCCGGGATGCCCTTCATGCGGGCTTCTTTCATCTTATGAGAACCTGGTCTTCTGTCCTCGTACAGAACTTTCCTTGTAGAGAACACTGTCACATCACATGATGCCTCCAAGCAAAAGCCTGAATGACTGTGACCCTGTCGTGGCACTCCCTCTGTGTGTGCTTCAAAGAACAGCGTTCTGCAGGCAGCTCTTGCCAATGGATGCGGTGGGTAGAACGATTCTGCAAGTTACTAAGCTAGTGGGCCTGCGTGAGCCATGCCAGCGTGCACAGCTGATGGGCAACAATGTCCCCTGTGCAAGAACTGCCACTCCATGACACCTAGTGCATCAGCCAAAGTGTGAGAAGAACCGCAGAAAACACACATGCGAGACAAAACAGGAGGCAGGACTAGCAGTATTTGTAAGCTTCCTCACTTGTGTGGTTTCCTGCCAGTTTATGAATCGCGCAGCAGGAATCCACAAAACCCGGCCCGGTAACCTACATGAGGGCAGTTAAGGTGATAAGTAGGAAACATGGACTACGGTCAACCCTAGCCTACCACGACGCGCCCGTTTTGATAGACCGTTGGGCTACTCGGCTACTCCGACATCCCCACTCCCGACCCCATCCCCACAGTACAGTAGGCACCGGCTCAAAAGCTTCCAGAAGTTTCAGCTTTCTCGACTTCCCAACAAAAGCGCTTCTCTTCTCGAACCGCCGGGGGGTCCGCTCTTAAACCAAAGTTTCCCCCCATTCTTCCGGTTTTTTCCCGGTGCAGAGTTCCTCCCGGGGCAGCCTCCCCCCGAAACGCAACCGTTCCCCCACAGTTGGCGCCAAGGTACAGGAACCATGCAAAGAACCCTCTCTCAACTCTTAGGCAGCACGCTGTGCTTTTTGTTTCAACTACAACAGGCATGATCAGCTTGGCGCTAGCGGAAGTCTCAGGAATCTTTGCGTGAGCTCCGCGACAGGTTCTTACGATGAACTTGCCGGCTGTTGTCAGCCGGCAAGCTGTCTAGGGAGAACTGCAGCGAGTCGTCACGATCTTCTCGAAAGGACTTGACTGACGAGTTGCAGCAAATTTGAGCGACTTGGTCAGAACCGAAAGCATGCTGACATTGATTCAGTAGAAGTTGCACGGGGCTTGGGACTTATGAGAAAACGATATGGGATTCTGTTCTGACTTCAAAAAGAGTCTGGCAAGCCGCGACCACCGCAGCTGAAGCTGCAGTGAGCCGCAGCCATCACATCAGACTGCACGTGCCACCCTCCTGACAGGCAAGACAAGAAGACAAGACCTGCTGCAAATACATTCGCGAAGTCTCAGCTGCCCGAGAGCGTGGAGAACATGCAGCCTCTGGAGCGACTGGCACAGTGACTGGCACAGGAAGGGGGCACCTGCGAAAACGCTGTGATCATCTGTGGTCCCTGCACTGTACCGAACGTACCGAACTCAGTCTACCCTGCCACAAAGTCTACAATACCTTGTGCTCTCGTTAAGTTAAAGAACTTCTTACATTTTCAGTCTCAGGCCACGACCCTGAGATGGCTTCGTCCCTCTTCATCTTGTCGATTGCACTTGGCCACACTTTCAGATACTCTGGAGACACGTGGTAACAAGCACAAGAAATACTACACCCGCAGACTTCCCCTCGGCAAGTGCTTCTTGCAGAAGTCAAAACAATGGTATGGGGCCCGAACTTCTCCGGAAGGACTGGAATGAGTTCGTCCTTGGCCACTGCATCAGCGGGATTCACCTCAACTTCAGCCTTGCAAGGCTTACTGAAGCGTACTACTCAGCAACAAGCAGCGACGTGCAAGTCCAGCGTGCTGGCTACACATCTCACGAACTGTCAGGCCTTCTTGATGGAGGCATTCGGATCGGTGGGAGCACTGCATGTCCTCCCCAACAGCGAACCAGACGGATGCTCTTCCCCAGGCCAAGGACGCCACATAGAGGGACGGGGACCATGGTGGACATGTGCAACACAGCTCCAAAACTTGCGTTCCTGCAGAGAACAAGATCCACTGGGCTCCGCTGCTTTGCAGAAGGCGCAGAGAGGAAGGTGGAAAAGAAAAACAACCATGGAGGAACAAGCAGAGGAGAACAGCAACAGGAGCAAGAGCAAAGCTGCCTAAGGGAGATGGAAAAAACCAGCTGAAGGCGGAGCCCTAGGGACCCCCCTTAAGAACCCGACACATGCGCACACTTGTGGGCAGGCGACCTTCACGCACTGTGTTTGTATCGGTTGCTGTTGCTGACCTCCGGTCTATGGCCCCGCCCCCATTCCCCCCCCAAACCCGACAAAAAAGAATGGACCCCGCACCAAAGACCTTGTCTGCTTTGGACGTGGCCGGCTGCAACCCACAGCCCCGCTAGATAGCCCCCAAACAAAATCAGCAAAACTCGGATCCCGTCCTTTCTTTCTCCGGGAAGTCTTGCAGAAGCTTCGCAAGGCTGCCGTCTTTGGCTGCCGTCGGCAGCGAGGCAGCAGCTTTCTGCTGTGTGCTGGGCTCGGCCGCAGGCACTTTGGCGGCCTCTTCGGCATAGAATGACCCAAAGTGGACTGGACAGGAGTTGAGTACAAAACTTTGACACGACGCCAGCAGCTTTCAACAGCAAAGGCGCGCTGATTCGCAGCGAGCGGCTCTTCCTCCCGCTCGTCTTTCTCTGTGTAGCTAATGTTGTGTTCCTTTGGATCCTGACGTGTTATCATAGTTTGTTGATCCGCCCTGGCTTCCTACTGGTTTGAATGTTTTGAAGAAGAGGGGCTCAGGTGCTTTCAAGGCTGAAAGTTGCTTTGATCGCTGCTTGGTCTCTCCAAGGCAGACGCGGAAGAATGCACACAAAAAGATAAAGAAGAACACACACATCCGTCGTGTTACCTATGCTACGACTCCTACGCATTGCTGCACGATCACTTACGACAACACCCTCGACAAGTTCCCCGAGAGCACGACGACGGCTACCATGACAGCCACCAAGAACCGCCTGGGTGTGCGTATTAAGTGTATTAGTTCCCACTGCTCGCCTCGGGCAGCTGCCGCTGGCGGAGATCGGCCTGTGCAGAAGAAGCCCAAAGCAGAGCAGCAATGCAGCAATGCAGCGGAAGGAGAAAACACTTGCCCCTTGCGGCAGTAAACGTAACAGCAGCACTGCAAGCAAAAGTGTGGTTGCGCTTGGAGCTTCTCTGGACCTCTTGCTCTTACAATTTCAAAGATCATGCCAGGTTGCCATTACTGTCACGAATGCGCAAGACTTGTCCACCAAAGATCACTGCCAAACCAACATTCCTCTTGCCGACTACAAACAATAGAACAAGGTCCGCTGTTGGCCTTTCGGACTCTGCCGGAGTTGCATGGCGCAAGTATCAAGTTATCCGCACTTACAGATCTAAACAAGGAAAGCATTCTACGCTGTTGCTGTGCGTACAAGCTGCTTTCCCCAATAGAAGCCGTGGCGTGTTCCTGGGTCTTTCAGATTGGCATTTCGGGCTATGCAGATTTCGGGTTGCTCTATTTTGGAAGAAGAGCTTGTCGGTTGATTGCGCTCCAGCACCTGGAACACAAAAGCAACATGAACATCTGCAATCATTTTCCCATCCCAGAACCCCGAAACCTTACACCCCCAAGCAACGCAGCCCCTACATCCTCATTGATCCTCATAGCTTGATGAAGGGCCACGGCGGCCACTCTTGCTCCCGAGCTTCCCGGAAGGCATCTCCGTCCCGTTGAACCAGAGGTCGGTCAAGGCCGCTGGTCTGACCTCAGGGGTAGCCGTGGCTGCTTCGCGACCCTGGGCTAGTTTTGGCGAGGGCACGAGGGCGAAAGGGGCATCTTGTTCTGTCAAACCTGGGCTCCATGCGCGGCCGCGCCACCATCTTTCCTGGCATGGGTTGGAGTTTCCTTCGACTGCACAAAACACTATGTTACTATGTGGCTTCTTGGGGCCATCTTGCAGGGGCAACACATGGCAACACCATACTTTGAAGAGGCTCAGAGATGCACTCAATGGAGCTCTCGCGGTCAATGCGGACCCTGAACCCAGCGGGAACCGAACACTGTTCACACTTAGGAGCCAAAAATGGCTCTTTCCTGGCACGCAATTTGGGTCATCGTCTCCGTACATTGTCAGTCGGTCCTAGAGTCCTAGCAATGAAGTCAATCTCAAGTACACAACCACCTGTAGCGAAGCGAAGGAGAAAAAACAAGCTCACAGGGAGGTGATAGTTACGAGACAAGACATGCGAAGAAACGCACACGCACACACATAGCTCATTCGCAGCAAGAGTCGCTGGATTGCACAGTGTGCCAGGCCTGGTCGAGCGAGCCTTTTGCAGAACCCGGGACTCTGACCTTGCAACTGGCCCGGGCTACCGGTCGAGTCCTGTAGATTTCGACACCAAAACCAAGAACCTTCCCCCGCCCCAACACCCCCAAAAACAACGCCCTGCAGACTCGCTTTGGGGGAGCGTCAATGCGATGCTGTAAGGGGTCAGCCTGTGGCGGGAAAAGCTTTTGAGCTCTTGAACCACCGTTGAGAAATGCAGTGAACAAATCGGAACACTTCAGTGGACTTCAACACTCACAACACTCAATAGCAGGACAGGCAGCTCCTGCGTTGAGTACTTGAACCAAATACTGTCACGGCAACTGCCTCTACTTTGGGAAGTTGCGTGTCCGTCAAACCCACAAGCTGCTGGTCGAAGGTGATGGCCTTGACCAGCCTCCTGCACATGAACCTCAAACACTAGGCATCTGCCTAGCAGCTTGGCCCTGAAATTCAGGCTTTTGAGCCTGCACACAAGACATCCTCGGGCCCTGAACCCTCAAGTTGGCCAAAGCCCTGGTGCGGGGGTTCGCGAGGGTGCATGAGCCCCATATATATATATATATATATATATATGTATATAGATATCTATCTATCTACCTATCTATATATATATATGTATATATATGGGGTTCATGCACCCTCGCAAACCCCCCACCAGGGATTTATATATATATATATATATATATAACTATATATATATATGTGCATGTAAAAAACTCCTGAAGGTCTTGCAAGGCTGGGTGGCGACTCGGCCTTTCTCAAAGGATTCCAAAGGTACTCCGGTGCTAGCTGCAGATACGTACTCCGTGCTATCGTGCTACCTGTACTCGCAGCCTCGCACTGTCAGAGTTCATCAAAGCCCTAAGTGTCAATCGAATGCAGGAACCGAGCATAAAGGCAGATGTGGTTGGAGTGATAACAAAGGGACGGGTTTTAGTGAACCACCTGGGCACTCAAGTCAGTGACCGCTCTCCATGCTTGGGGACATTTTCAGGGTCTTAGGATGGAACTTTATGCGAGGATGCAAGGAGGCAGCAGTGCTGCCGAGGGACGATGGTGACGATGCTCCCACCAGAGGCGACGCTGTCCTGCCGCTGTATTGAGAGACTGCATCCAAGATCGCCTCGTCTCCTATTGTAACGTCTGCGATTCCCAATAGTATCTAGTACTTTAAGTACAATACTTGCTCAACATTGGCTGTACTACCGTGGTTGATGACGACGACCGCTTGGCCTGCTGATGGTAAATTTCCTCCGCCTGTCGCAAGTAGCAGCCCACAAAATGCAAGCTGCTGCACACTGCTCCGAAGAGATGTGATTCAGGGTGATAACTCTGAAGCTTCTCCTCTAGCAAAAAAAACGGGTCAGGTAGTAGCCTTCGGCTGAGACAGTGTCGCGGCTGCAGCCGCGGAAGGCGAAGCCAAGGGTGGCTTGGCCTGTGCTCCACGCGCATTCTTCTACTGGCGCAGCTGACGCTGCAGTGTAGTCTAACAAACGTACAACATACAGATTCAATTTAAGCAGTGCTCAGACTCTTTTCCGTGGCACGGATGCTTTTAAACCTTCAGCACTGGGCACCAACAAATACTTCCAGAGGGCTTTGGTCCTTTCCCTCCCGCCTCATCCAGGGTCACCTCAAGGTAAGCGCTTGGGGAAACATATCGCCCTGGGTTTAGAGCTTAAAGTTTCTGGCGTGGGCTTCAGGCTTTGCTCCCAAGTGCCAACCAACATTATGCAGAGCATGCAAATAGCAATCCCAAACCTGCATGCACATCACTCACGCACGACCCCTACAAGAAGCTGTTCACGTGGCAACAAAACAAAGCTGGAGTGATAACAAAGGGACGGGTTTAGGGAACCACCTGGGCACTCAAGTCAGTGACCGCTCTCCATGCTTGGGGACATTTTCAGGGTCTTAGGATGGAACTTTATGCGAGGATGCAAGGAGGCAGCAGTGCTGCCGAGGGACGATGGTGACGATGCTCCCACCAGAGGCGATGCTGTCCTGCCGCTGTATTGAGAGACTGCATCCAACATCGCCTCGTCTCCTATTGTAACGTCTGCGATTCCCAATAGTATCTAGTACTTTAAGTACAATACTTACTCAACATTGGCTGTACTACCGTGGTTGATGACGACGACCGCTTGGCCTGCTGATGGAAAACTTCCTCCGCCTGTCGCAAGTAGCAGCCCACAAAATGCAAGCTGCTGCACACTGCTCCGAAGAGATGTGATTCAGGGTGATAACTCTGAGGCTTCTCCTCTAGCAAAAAAAACGGGTCAGGTAGTAGCCTTCGGCTGAGACAGTGTCGCGGCTGCAGCCGCGGAAGGCGAAGCCAAGGGTGGCTTGGCCTGTGCTCCACGCGCATTCTTCTACTGGCGCAGCTGACGCTGCAGTGTAGTCTAACAAACGTACAACATACAGATTCAATTTAAGCAGTGCTCAGACTCTTTTCCGTGGCACGGATGCTTTTAAACCTTCAGCACTGGGCACCAACAAATACTTCCAGAGGGCTTTGGTCCTTTCCCTCCCGCCTCATCCAGGGTCACCTCAAGGTAAGCGCTTGGGGAAACATATCGCCCTGGGTTTAGAGCTTAAAGCTTCTGGCGTGGGCTTCAGGCTTTGCTCCCAAGTGCCAACCAACATTATGCAGAGCATGCAAATAGCAATCCCAAACCTGCATGCACATCACTCACGCACGACCCCTACAAGAAGCTGTTCACGTGGCAACAAAACAAAGCTGGAGTGATAACAAAGGGACGGGTTTAGTGAACCACCTGGGCACTCAAGTCAGTGACCGCTCTCCATGCTTGGGGACATTTTCAGGGTCTTAGGATGGAACTTTATGCGAGGATGCAAGGAGGCAGCAGTGCTGCCGAGGGACGATGGTGACGATGCTCCCACCAGAGGCCACGCTGTCCTGCCGCTGTATTGAGAGACTGCATCCAACATCGCCTCGTCTCCTATTGTAACGTCTGCGATTCCCAATTGTATCTAGTACTTACGTACAATACTTACTCAACATTGGCTTTACTACCGTGGTTGATGACGACGACCGCTTGGCCTGCTGATGGAAAACTTCCTCCGCCTGTCGCAAGTAGCAGCCCACAACATGCAAGCTGCTGCACACTGCTCCGAAGAGATGTGATTCAGGGTGACAACTCTGAGGCTTCTCCTCTAGCAAAAATAACGGGTCGGGTAGTAGCCTTCGGCTGAGACAGTGTCGCGGCTGCAGCCGCGGAAGGCGAAGCCAAGGGTGGCTTGGCCTGTGCTCCATGCGCATTCTTCTACTGGCGCAACTGACGCTGCATTGTAGTCTACAAACGTACAATATGCAAGGTCGAATCTTCAATATTGAATTAGGAATCCTACTTGGTCGATTTACGATTTGAGGCTCAAGGCGTTTTTGCATCTGCAAGTCTTACGAGCCTCAGCCGCAAAGCCTGACAACCTCCGGCTAGTACCCTTGTAGTACCTTCGTAGTGCCTTTGAAAACTCTAGAATTTCTGAGCCCCTGAAAGACCTGACTCCGGAACAGAAAGACGGAAGTACTGGAGCGTTGAAAGATCACAGCAATAGCAATTGGGATAAGAAACTATATGGCACAGCCAAAGCTTACGATAGAGGTTTGGCTATGGCAAGAGTTTGCTGACTGCCTCACTTGTTGCGGGAAAAATACCTCAATCAGACCCTACGGCTTCAGCTGCAAGACTGACTAGAAAATGACTTTAAAGGCACTACAGCATTCAACGGTGTTCTATAGGAACAGCAAACGAAGCCAGTCCACAAAGCCCGAAGGGCCTCAGGCTCGCAGAGCCGGGCAATGCACGCACGGAGGCTGCAGATCTCAACCTTTCAAGTTCACCGTGGCAAAACACAACACCAACAACCACGACCCTAGCAAGCTCACGCTGCTGCCGGAGCTGTTGCACAACTGTTGCAGAACTGTCTTCCCAACACCTCCGCCCCGAAAACTAGACGCAACACACTTTGCCATACCATTCACTTAGTCGAGCAGAGGCTTCTCTGCTCCAGACACGTCTTCACCCAAAGTGCCGTGGGTAGCTCTAGCTCTTGTCTCTGTCTCCCAACTACTTTCGCGCAGAACCCGCGGCAACTGGAGCCCCAAACCAACGGAGTGCCAAGTGCCAAGACGAGGACCGAACTTAAAACGCACAAGGCCCCCCCACATGTCTGTTTGGGCATACGCAGAACACAAACACGCAGCTGAAGGTCGTCACCCTAATGAGTATCCACGCGATCGACAGATAGTAATTACAGGAAGCGCTGCTTTCAAAGGTCGACACAAGCTGCAAGGACGACGTGGAGGAAGTAAGTGAAGGAAAGGCGTTCACACTTGGCAGGGCTGCGGCAACAAGGCCAGACAT